ACTAGCAGGATCATCAATAATCATAACTATATCCGAGACAAAACCATGCAGGATTTACAAGAAACCTGAATTTCATAATCAATCCCGAATTTCAGAACAAATCGGAAAAGTTCCATGCAGGCATGGATTTAACAGAAAACTCAACATTTACAAAATTCTCAGTTCATCAAAGCAGTTTAGTCAATTGCCAAATAGGCATGCTCTATTCCAGAAAAACAATGAAATTGTCATTTTCATTTCTCAATCATGCTCATTTCCAGAAAATCAATAAAATCCTCATTTTCATTTCAATCATGCTCAATTTCAGAAAAACAAGGAAACTCTCATGAAAATCACCCAACTTTTCATTTCAATTTAATCACACTCAGATGCTGATAAAATCATTTTAAAATCAATTTAAACCTTGCCACCATCTCAAAAACAATTTAAAACGTGCTTTAAAATTAAAGGGCTTTACCATAATTTACTTACCTCACTCGCATAAAACCGAGCACTCAATCTCAGTGCTAACTGACAGAACGATTGGGAACCTAATCAAAACACCTCAGAATTAATACTAGACTATCACAAATTTAAACTGAATTCATCATTAGCACTACCCCTAATCATAGTGCTATTTCTATCAATCTCCACATAACCGGACATCTCCAAATTTATTCTTATATCACAAACTAATCATTTAAATCCCCGTTAATTATTGACCCTCGGTGTGTGAACAGTGCGCGTGAACAGTACTAGTAAACAGTACCAGTGAACAGTATCGTGAACAGTACTTCACTTCCAAAATTGGCAAAAACACTAGCTAATTCACAGGATTTTTCTCCAAAATCACAACAACCCAATTAACAAAATTCCTACATAAACCAAGCACAAAACACATTTAAATGCTACCGAAATTCCTCCCCCATTTTAGCAAAATTCGGCAAGCACAGGGCAGCACTTAATGGACAAAACCCAGCAATTAAATGGGTAATTTTAGGCTTAGAGGAGCTGTCCATACCAGAATTGAGCAGCCAAAAACCGAGCCTAGCAGGGGGGAGAAGCCGGCGGCAGAGAAGAAGAAATTCTGCAAGGGAACTCGCGGCTACCCAATCCAAAAACCAAAACACAATTCAAGGTAAGCCCAAGCCAAATTCAGAGCTAAAGAGATGAACTCTTGGCTGAATCTTACCAGAAAAACCGAAGGATTCAAACCCCCAAAACAATATTTTCCCTCAAATAAGTCCCTTATTTAATGCTAAAATATCACCAATTTTTGGGGTATTACAACTATCTATCTTTGTAGTTTCTATTTCTGATTAACTTTGTGAGATTGAAAGATCAACAATGGAGTTGAATTGTTCTTTCTTTGTTAATGGTAGAAGAAGTTGGAATCAACATCTACAAAATTAGTAATATACTAGATGAAGTTCTTTGTTACATTATCTCTTTCCTTCCTAGAAAAGATGTAGTATGCTCACCCATTCTATTTGCAAGGTGAAGGTATCTATTTTCTTTGATTTCTAATATTGAATTTGATTTTGATGTTAATTGTAAATAGACAATAAATGCTTTCATGAATACTATGGATAGAGTTTTTTCCCCTCGTAAGAAACCATTACAAATAGATCTTAGTCTACTTCAGTGCTCCTATTGATCCTATTGATGGGCGGATGCATGCTATATTATGGTGTTCTATTGTAGAGCTTTGTTTCTCCATCTCTTTAGATATGCCAAATGGATTACCAACAAGTGCATTTACTTATAAGACACTAGTTGTTTTCAAATTGTACCTACCTAATTTTTTGTTTACAACTCCCTATAAAGGTCTATCTCCCACGTCTCAATGTGAATTTGGGGAAATGGTTATCTGTTGGCTAATATTTGTATACAAATAGCTAGCTTCCATTCATTTATAAACTTACCTTTTATTACTAAAGCTTCAATCTACCACCAACATGGATCCTACAGTGATATTGGTAATAGTTATAGTGTCGACAATGATGTAATGAAAGGAATAAGCAATATTCAGTCACATCATATATGTAGAGTAGATCTACTGGTAAGTTTGATGTTAGTTTATGCTCCAAGGGCTATTGCATATGTGTCATGTAATGTCATATGGTTCACACAATTTGAGGTCCAGATGTTGTACATACAATCATGTAAGGGTGCATAGTTGAATAGAAACTGTCATTCGTATAATGACTGAATTTATGTTGTTCATGCATATTTTATTTATTTTATTTAACGATCTTAAATTTTATATTATTTAAAAATAATTAAATATAGCTAATTAATTTTAAGATTTAATGTGCATAATATAAGTGGTATATGTATAAAATTAATCAATAATATAAAAATTGGTATAGATTATACTAATATAAACTAATAAATAAATTATAACAAATTTTAAAATTTCACCTCCCTAGCATAAATTCTTGACTCTGTCCCTGTCCACCTCTCTTCATATGTTTTTTAGGATGTCAACAACTACAACTCAATGCGCGATATCCATTTTGATTAGATCTCTATTTTCTGTGATTAAGGATTGCCAACCGCTTAATAGTTTAAACTAGAGGAATTTAGAGCACCATGTTATTTCTTACTAACTTTAAGGCAATTGAAATGTTGAGATTCAAATGGAATTGTTAGAAACAGAAAAGAAGGAGAAATATTTCAAGAACTGTATGTACAATGACCTATATATAGGTGTTTACAAAGAGAATATTATAAAGTATAAAATATTTACAATAAATATGAATAGTGTGAATAGTATGAATATGATCTGAATAGTTGATTGTCATTTATTATGTTCACATCCTAACATCTCCCCTAAAACTCAAGGTGGTTGTGATGAAATCAACTTTAGTTTGGAAAGAAGAGTACAAAAGCATCCAGGAAAATGAGCCTTGGTGAAAAGGTCTGTTGGTTGATTTGCAAAGTCAATGAAAACCAATTAAATGAACAATTTTTTGTGAAACATGATGGCAAACAAAGTAACAATCAACCTTAATGTGTTTAGTGCATTCATAGAAGACATCATTTGGAGCAACCTACGTGGAGCTTTGATTATCGTAATGGAGATCAGTAGTACATGGTTGAAGAACACCCATACTACTAGTAGCCAACATAACTTTAAGTAACTCTGATGTGGTGTCTCTTAAGTGCTCGATATTTGGCCTCTGTGTTGGAATGAGATAGAATTGTCTGCTTCTTGCTACACTAAGAGATTAAGGAATCATTAAGAAAAAGACAATATTTAGTGGTGGATTTATGATCATTAGTCTTCAACCCAATCAACATCAAAGTAAGCACGAAATTCAAGAGATGAATGAGTAGAAAAGTGAAGTCCATAAAAATGGTACCTTTGATATAGTGAGTATTGCTGCATGATGAGTGGAGTGTGGTGTAGCCATAAATTAGCTAATAACATGAACTACATAAGCTATGTCTGGTTGTGTTGTAATAAGATAAATTAAACTTCCAACTAATTGTTTATAACGAGTAGGATTAGCTAATGAAGAACCACCCTTCAGTGTAAGTCAAACATTTGGCTTAAGAGGAGTAGATGTAGTCTTGTTGTTAGTGAGTTTAGCTTTAGACATAAGATTAGAAGCATATTTTGTTTAGGAGAGATGATAACCATCATCAGAAGAATTGACCTCAAGTCTTAAGAAATTGCTTAAAATATCAAGGTCTTTCATCTCAAACTCATGATTGAGAAATTGCATAAGATCATGAATACCTGAAATATCATCCCTAGTAATGATCATATCATCAACATAAAGAAGTAATAGAACCATACCATGATTAATCTTAGGTATGAACAACACAATATCATGAGGACTAGAAGTAAAGACCAAATTCATTGATGGTGGTACTAAACTTGGCAAACCAAGCTTGCTTCAATCAATAAACCTTGTTTGAAGGATACTCAAGTCTAGATGTGGTTTCATGTAAACTTCCTCTGCAAGATCACCATTTACAAAGGCATTTTTTACATTCATTTGAAACAATTTCCAACTCCCTACAACATCAATAACAATCAAACTAGGAACTATAGTAGAACGAGTAATAAGTGCAAAGGTTTCCTCATAATCAATTCCATATTCCTAAGTAAATCCTTTAGCAACCAAACAAGCCTTATAACACTCCATGAAACCATTGGACGAAGTTTTGATCTTGTACACCCATTTCAACCTATTGCAAGCTTTTTAGTAGGGAGATCAACTAAATCCCATAGATGAGTTTTCTCAAGAGCTTGTGATTTATCTTACATAATTGTTGCCAAATGGGGTTAAAAGAGGCCTTTTGATAGGATTAAGCCTCATGTAAGGATGCAATAGCAAGAAAATAATGATAATCATAAAGATAGCTAGAAGGATTTCTTACCCAAGTAGGATGACTTGAAGGTGGATTAATGATCTCATTTTCAGGCTCAATATCAATAGGATTAGATTTAACAGCTAATATAGAAGAAGTAAGGGAAGAAGAATCAGCATTGTCTAATGACCAATAGACAAAGTATTTTCTATATAATTAGGTGGAGCACATAGTGAGGCATCATGTAGCTCATCAAATGTATTTCCGTTAGAATCACTAGGAAACAACTCAATAGAAAAGTTCGTAAAAAATGGAGGTTGATCAAAAGATGACACCTTGAAGTCTAATAATGAGGAAAACATAGTGTGTTCCTAAAAGATAACATGATATGAGGCTCGAAGTTTTTATGACATAGGATCCCAACAATTATATCCTTTATGTGTATTCTCATAACCCAAAAAGCAACATAATCCAACTCTAGGCTCTAACTTGTTATAGTCATAAGATGGAAAAAGAACGAAACAAGCACAACCAAAAACCTTAAGAAGATCATAGGCAAGAACAATACCATGCAAATGCTCATATGGAGATTGATTATTGATGACTAATGATAGAATCCGATTAATGAGATAAACAGCTGTAAGAGTAGCTTCACCCAAAAATTGCTATGGACAAGAAGACAAAATGAATAAAGCATGAACAGAATCAAGGATGTGTTTGTGTTTACATTCGGCTCACCCATTCTATTCAGAAGTGTAAGGACAAGATTGTTATGTCAATGTACCCTATTTTTTAAGAAATGATTGAAGTTTGGTATTAAGATATTCAATAGCATTGTTAGTTCTCAAAACTTTGATAATTTTAGAAAACTAGGTTTTGACCATGGTAGCGAAATCAATATAAAGTTATGGTAATTCAGAGTAATATTTCATAAATACATCCAAGTAAAATGAGTATGATCATTAATAAATAACACAAAGTACCTGGAAGCCCCCATGATGGGTGTTAGAGATGGACCTCAAACATCAAATGCACGAGATCAAAAGAAGCAGTAAAAAGAGAATGACTACTTGAAAAAGATAAAAAGTAGTTGTTTTACAAATTGACATGACACACAATGCAAGGATTCATTTGAAAAAACTTCTAATCAACCACGAGAGTTAAGAGGATAGAATTTACCAACTAAGCTGTGTTTGAGTCATGTGTGCCACAAATGGAGAGGAGAAATGTTAGTAGCAGCATAGGCTTGAAAGATTTATTGATATGGAATTTGCAAAGACTTTAACTTAATCGCACAAAGTAGGGTTTGTACGAATCAATCATTTAGAAATGACAATGTATCTATTTTACAATGAGGAATATGTATATAGTTAAGCTCAAACATACACCCCACCTTGTAACCATTTCCAAGAAGTTATCTTATCTATAGGCCCTACACATGACAACCATGAGCAAAAAATGCTACTTCTAGACCAAAATCACATAATTGACCAATAGATAGAAGATCATAAATAAGTTTTGGAACCAAGTGAGCATTAGGTAAAGTTAATGAATTTGTAGAAATATTGCCAATATGACTAATATTCATAGGGGAGCCATTAGTAGAATAAATGTTAGTAAATGAACTATTTGGTGACATTGAAGAGAAATAAGTAGTAGTTGAAGACATGTGATTTCAACAACCGAAATCAAAATACCAAGGTTTAGTACTTGGAGCTACATATAAGGCAATAAAAGCATTAAAAAGATTTAATATCATCTGTTTTAGAGATTCAGGGTCAACAATAGGTTGGTCTATCACTTTTTTGGCAATCATAGTAGTAGTAGGATGAGTCACAATTCTTTTAAAACTTGCTATAGAATCAATAGAACTCACAATATTGAAAAAAATCTCTAAAAATATGAATAAATAGATGCCAAGATAGAAATAACAACCTAACAAAATACCTCAAAAAATTCCTGAGAATCAATAACAAAGAATCTAATCTACAAGAGAAGAAATCCTAGCAATAGAGTT